ATTGTATTTTCTGCATTTCAGCTTATTTTGTTCTGGTTGAGATTATTTAAGGGATTTCCTCCTTGTATTTTTTTTTTGTCCATCTTCTCTTCCTTAGCTTTCAGCTACTGGGGGTTTTTGTCTTTCTCTTTTGGGTTTCACCGTCTGGTTCTTTTGTGTGTGTGGAAGACCAACCACTTCTGATTTATCACCCTCTCCAAGAAGAAGCCAAGTGTTCCAGGTCACAGCTGTTATTTCCACAGTCCTGCACTCCAAGTGTGTCTCTGTACATGTGTTCTGTCTTCTCCTGCGGCACATGCCTTTGTGACTGTGTTGGTAGGAGGAATTCCTGCTGAGCTGCAGCCTCATCTGGTCCCCAACTACTGTCTGAAGAAGGAATTTAAGGCATTAAGGTGCAGATTCCCCAAAACCCCTTAGGTGCCTAATACCCAACTATACAGGGCTGCCACCAACTGTCCTTGTACTGACATTAATTGATATAACAAAAATATGTCATAGACGAACAAAGGATTTCCTGAGCTAAGGCTACCAGCCCAGGACAAACGGCCTCCCTCATGGAGGATGGAGAGGGAGCTGGGTCATATCCAGGCACACCTTAAAAAACATGATGCTGGACTTTGGAGGTCTGCTATGTTTTGAACTGTATGTAAAGGAGGAAAAATGATACCTCCCCAGTTTTAAAAGGAATTGACATTTATTTTATATTCTCCAGATGGTAGAGAGAAATACACTAAGTAGGTGGATGATATGAGTCAAAAGAGAAAACTAGGGTCCCTCACTTTTCTACGGGAGACTGCTGTGCATAGGCAGAGTGCCAGCAATTGGGGGGCAGTTTGGGTAAGGTTTTGGAAAAGGAGAGTTGGCAGCTAAAGTAGTCAGGATGAACCTAGAGGAGAGGTTGTAAAAAGAAAGTGAGTTGCAGCTTCATGTCACCTCTTGTCACATGCTTAACTAGTTAAATCTGTGAATAAGTGTCTCAATGTCCAGGGGACAACGCTTTTTACTTTTTACTCTTTCAATACCTAGAACATAAGTATTCTCTGTGTTGAGACATAATTAGCTTCCTACCCTTGAGTATAGGTAGGTAGGTAGGTAGGTAGGTAGGTAGGTAGATAGATAGATAGATAGATAGATAGATAGATTGATAGATTGATAGATGGATGGATGATAGGTCTAGATCTGTATCTGTATCTGTTTATACCACTTGCAAGGGGGTATAACGAGAGACAAGGCATGAAGGCATGCATGCATTACAGTCCTCCTGTGTAGGAGGACTTCGTGAGCCACTCTCTCATGATCTGTGTCCAGCTCCAAAAGCCATGGCTTCAACAGTGCTAATGCAGCTATTTCAGAGCCCTTCCAAAGGATTTGTAGGAAGAGCTTGATAAAACACGTGATCCATCCTGGTATTTATACAGTGATTTCACTGTCATGGTATCTCTGTATCTGTCATAAAGGAGAGCTGTTTTGAGTGTGTTAATGTGATAAAAGCGTGACATATAGAAAAGTGAGTCCAACATATGTGCTCAGCTTGTGCCATTTGATTCAGAACACGCTAGATCTGGCCACTGCAGATTCATTCTCTTTTTCTCCTTTCTGCCCATGCAAACATCTGTAATGAATTAATTTTTTTTTTAAAGCAGAGAGCAAAAATCTGACCAAAATTAATTTTTTGTTGTTGTTTTGTTATATTTTACAGCTGCAACTATTAGGTCTAATAACTGAAGCCTCTTATGCATGGAAAGATTTGCAAGAGAGTGGTTAAATCCAGCACAAGTGGTAGAATCTCCTATGACACATGAAGTATGAAAGTAAAATTAGAACAGAGGCATTAACATTAGCAAAGTAATAAAAATGTTGCTACATTGTCACAGTCAGGGTCATAAACTAATGCCACGGTGAGAAATCAGTCAGATAATAAAGTAGAAAAATGATTACAGTTTAAAACCAGGCAGAAAATTCTTGACATTTGTATGTTTGTGACTGACAGCACCTGCCTGCTCTGAATAAGAGTCCGAACTTCATACTTATCAGCTGCTGAGAGGATTTCTGCTCCATCGCTTGACCTCCACTGTAAATGCTCTGGTGATAAAGAGCCTGTCCTTCCTTTTCAACACTGGCATGAAGCACAAAAGCGTGCTGGGGAGCAATGCACCCGTCTAACACAGCAGAATCAATACCAAGAGTTGAGTAACACACTTACCAAAGCTGATGTTAATGCTTCTCTGAGAGAAGATTATTTGAATAGCTTACCTTGATTAAAAGTATGTTTCACAAGAAGTAGGTTTATAAATTGAAATAAGCAGAAATAATGCATGGAGTGTCACATGCAAGAAACTTTGCTCATGTGTTATTAAAAAAAAATTGTTATTATAATTTAGCAGTTATTTACTAGATTCACTGTATGTAAGACTGAGTACTTGATATTACTGAGAGCTTTCTCTGAAACAAATGACTATAGATGCACTTAGGAGCTGTAAACAGCTGGGATGTAATCTAAGCTCACCTGTAGCTCCATACACAGACACATATGCACTCTTTGTTCTCTAGGAATTCAGATAAGAAGTCTTATAAAAACTTGGTGGCACTTACCCGGGCTCTGTGCCCAGCTTTCCTGTATGTAGAGACAAGTGTAAGGGACCACATGCCAGAGGGATTGACTCCGTGATTTGAGTAAGTCAGGAGAAACTCTGAGAAGTTACTACATTGCAAACAAAGGTAAAAAAGGAAAAGATAGCTTTCATTTTTACATGCCCTGGCAGCCAGGAGGGCCAACCATGTCCTGGGGGGCATCAGGCAAAACATCTCCAGTCGGTCAAGGGAGGGGATTTTCCCACTCTGCTCTGCACTGGTGTGGCCTCACCTTGAACATCATGTGCAGTTTTGGGTGCCACAATATAAGAAAGATATTTGGCTACTATAGAGTGTCCAAAAGAGAGCAATGAAGATAGTGAAGGGCCTAGGGCAGAAGCTGTATGAGGAGCAGCTGAGGGCACTTGGTGTGTTCAGCCTGGAGAAGAGGAGACTGAAGGGAGACCTCACTGCAGTTACAACTTCCTCGTGAGGGGAAGAGGAGGGGCAGGCACTGATCTCTTCTCTCTGGTGATCAGTGACAGAACCTGAGGGGATGTCCTGAAGTTGTGTCAGGGGAGGTTTAGGCTGGATATTAGAAAAAGGTTCTTCACAGAAAGAGTGGCTGGGCACTGGAACAGGTTTCCCAGGGAAGTGATCACAGCGCCAAGCCTGACAGAGTTCAAGAAGTGTTCGGACAATACTCTCGTTCACATGGTGTGATTCTTGAGGATGGTCCTGTGCAGGGCCAGGAGTTGGACTCAATGATCCTTGTGGGTCCCTTCCAACTCGGCATATTCCGTGGTTCTGTGACTCAAAACTCAGTTCAGATGAAAAACTAACAGCCGAAAGCTACTGCAACAGTTCAGAGCTTCTGTTAAACATTTGAAACACATCTTGTTAAGGAAAAGACTAAATGATTAAATAGGCCTGTTTTATGTATATTGTTGTAGTGGCCTACAGTGGCCACAAAGAAGCTCTTGCCTCCCTTGGGGATTGGAATGTGCCAACCTCATTTTCTTCTCTATCTCTTGTAAGAAATACTACAGGCTATATCCAGTTGTCATATAATTTCTTATCTACAAACTTAAAAAATATGTGCAAAGATTTTGACCATGCTGAAAAAAAAAAACAAAACCAAAAGGTTTAACACCAATAAATATGTGGAATATAAGGACTGTGTTGGTATTTGTGCAGTGAATCATGATTGTAATCATGAGTGAATCATGATTGTAAATATGTTTAGCTTAACACATATTTAATTTATTTTTCCAAAAACAAAATCAACATTGCTTCCACTTTAAAAGCCAGAGAACTCACTCTGGCAGGGAAGAAAAAAAAAATAAATAGCTGGCAATGGAAGATTGTATCCTATTCCAGTATATTTGGATTTTTTAAAAAGAAAACTGTTACTGTGTTGGAATTCAAGAAACAAATTGCAATAAAACTCTAGGAATACTATAACACACACTACCCCAGTGCATGGTATCACACTGGACACAACGAAAAAAGGGAAATGTCATCTGTGATAACAGCAAAATTGAGACACTGCACCCTTTACACACAGAGTTATCACTGCAGAAGTGACACTTTCAGAGTCTGCCCAAACAGCGCAAACGCCTTGTAAATGCCAAAACAAGTCTGAAACACTCAGATAAGTAGAAGTGATGAGAAGCGATAAGAGGGGTTTTTGGGAGGACAGAGAGAACAAAACAGCTGGAAAAGATATCTCTAGCATGTATGAGGGTAAGTTTGTGTACTGCTGAGGGAAAATGCAGTTCAATAAGTCGGAAAGCAGAGCCATTGGAGAGATACTTAGACACGGGGTTGATTGTAGCTAAAAGCTTTACCCGTATTTTATTAATTTCTTTTTTTTAAAAAAAGTGGAAGGGGGGCAGGTGGAGAACCTTTTTGCTTTTTTTTTTTCCTCCCAGCTGTCCTTCCTAACTTGTCCCTTTTATTTCTAGCTCGCTGCAGCAACCGCAGACTCTTCCTGCCCCCGGGCACGCAGGAAGCCCCCAGGACACAGGTGGGGCTCCCGGGCCCGCGGTGAGGGGGTGCCGAGGTTTCCGCGCCTCCGTCCCGTTCCGGCGCCGCCTCCCGCCCGTGAGAAGGGTCGTGCGGCGGCGCGGGGTGTGCGCGGGGAGCAGAGGAGCGCAGGGCGGTTTGCGGCGCGCTGCGGGGCCGGGGCTGCTGGTCCGTCTGCCCCCGAGCACACACACCTACGCGGCGCGTCGGCTGCGGGGATCGGCGGGACTGCGCCGGCAGCCATGGGCCACTGGCCCCCGAACCTCCCGGACCTGCCCCAGCGGGTGTAAGCCCCAGCCCCAGCCCCTGGCCCCGAGGGAGAAGCGGCGCCGCCCGACTCTGCCCGCCCCGCCCGGGCGGAGCCGCCCCCGCCCCGCCGCGGGAGGAGGATGGGGCGGCGCGGTGTCCCCGCGCGGAGTCGCTGCCCCATGGCGGAGGTAAGGGCTCGGGAGCGCGGGGGGCTGTCCGGCTGTCCCGGCCGGGCGGGCACCGGCTCAGCAGCGGCGGGCGCGGCTCTGCCCCGGCCGCCTCGGCGAGCGACGGGGGTGCGCACCGGCGCGGGCGGGGCGGCGGTCTGGGGGTGTTCGGGGGGCGAGCTGTGGGGACGCGAAGGAGGACGGTTTTCTGAGCCAGACGCTTACCTTCCTCCCCCTCCCCCCCCCCCCCAAAAAAAAAAAGACATACACCGCCGGAGGGGTGGCCCGTGCCCTCCCTGTGTCTCAGGCGGGGGTCCCGGACGGCGGGCAGCCCAAGCGGGGCCGTGCTGCGGAGCGATGCCGCGCAGCCTCTGCGATCGGAGTGACCGGCGGAGGCTCCCGGCACCGGAGCGGGGCATACGCCTGGCCCCAGCGCCGCTGGCACCTGCCAGACGGACAGTTCTGCGTGGCATTTCCTCGGAAATCGTCTCTGTTTTTTTCATGTGGGCACAAAGGCTTCTCAAGAATATCACGCGGCTGCAGAAATGCAGCTTCTCCAAGGTGCATCACACGCTGCACCCCTCATCTTGGCACAGGGCGCGTGTGTGTACTCGGGTAACTACACTTGTCAGGAACATTTCTTACATCTCGGGGGACTTACTCTGCAGGGACTACCCTCCAGGCTCCTTTTATCGGCCCTTTGTTATCAGTGCAGCATCTTGACCAGTGTCCCTATCTTGGTCACAGCACATGCAGCCCTTACTGCACTTTTGTCTGCTTGCACCCATTCAGGCCGTTGTCCTGCACAGAGCTGTACAGCTGTGCACAGCTGCAGTCTAAAGATTAGCCAAGCCATTCAGTTGCAGGGCCAGCTTTTCTCAGTTAAGTTTCTGTTGGCATAGAGTTTCATTGTTTCCTGACTAGTTTATGATCTGGGAATTTTGTGATACACTGAGTGGATACAAAAGATACAGGAATGCCGAGTTGATGGGTTTGTGACTGATGTTCAGTACATTTTGAAATATCAAGTTGAACTACCAACATTTTTCAAGTTGGTTAAGAACCATTGTGAATAGCTGCTTCTTAATATGAATTAATAGACCAGCATTAGTGGATATTTATTAAATTTGTCATGCAGCATAGATTTCTTTCTTTCCTTTTTATTTTGTTTTTTTTTTTTCTTTCCCTATTTCCCCATGCATTAGCTTGGTTATTTTTGTAAAGTAGTTGAAAAACTAGTTTCAACACCCTGACTGTAAGGGATCAGTCCTTCCTGTGGAGAGAAGATGATTCATTTCTTTGCTAAATGTAGGTCTGTGCTTCTCTCTTTAGCACATTTTATTTAAGTGAAATAATGATTGAAGCAAAATAAGGCAGTGTTCAGTTCTTGACCTAAAAGGTAAAGGGACTTTTATGTGAAAACCCCTATGTCTCTTCCACCAGACTTTTCTTGAAGCACATGGCAAATCTAAAACATGGAACACAGAGGAAAAAGTTGATCTTTGTTTTAAAGGTGACCTTTGGTAGATTTGACTAAGTGTAGTTGTGTTGTCAAAATGTTATTGTAATAGTATGATGGATTTCAGAGTGGTTCAGCTGATTTATAACCTTCATTTTGCCTTTTGTAAAACTAGATTTGAGCTATTTTTTGTGTCTCTCATATCCACACTAGATCAAGACAAGGAGTCTCTGTAAACAGATGAAAGTATTTGTTTTGTTCTGCTTGGTATTGTGTGGCATCATGAAAAGTTAGCAGCTGAATTTATCCAACTCTGGATTAATTTTATTCATTGGACTCCAGTCCCTGCTGAGAACGTTGCTGGCAATACAATGCAAGCTGTTGGTCCCCATTGTTAGGGATCGGGTATGCAAAGCTACTCTGGAAGACAACTGCCGATAAAAAAGAAAATTAATTCAATGGCTGAAACATGCTAAACTGAATGGGTTTGCCTGGCCTATTTTTCTGTCCTGTGCTAAGATGAGGTGCAGTGTAGTGTTAGGACAGGCTGAGCACTTCATTTTTGACAATGGGTAAAGCAAACAGGTGGGTTCCTACACTCAGCTTACTGCCAAGCGGACTGGAGTCAGCCCATTCATTTCTGTAATCAAACTTACATTTGCTGATGAAATGTAAACCCCACAATAATTGCCTTAGTAATAAAAATAACAAAACATGTTTCTTCTGGAATACACCTTTTAATGGAGAAAATAATCATATTATCTCAGTGTCTTGCTATTCATTCTCTTAGATGTATGTGTGCAACAGGACCAGGGATAAATATGTTTGTAGCACAGCAGAGACTACATAAAAAGAAGTATTTTTTTCCAGGTCCTGTCCATGCTGCACTGTCCTGCATTGCCTACAGCAGGTCATAGTGGGTGGTTGGTAGAAGATGCACCCTATGGCTTAGAGTGTTAGTTTAGTGCCTCTGTGCTGTTCTGATGTGGGTCAGCCCATAGATTTGGCTTTCATGGATGTTTAAGATTGAGACTAAGGTACTAGGGTTCCTGTCTGGGAACCATGAGTTACATCTTTAGAAGAAAAGAAGAAAAAATTACCTTTTACTTCGAATAGCCAGAAAACATGCATCAGTTCATGCAAGGAAATGGATTAATTTCTGTAGTAATGAAAGGGGGTTCAAGTCCGACCTGTTTGCAGAGCAACCCAGATCAAGAGTTTAGGCTCCAGTGGCATGTTTGCAAAGGAAAGAGATAAAAAGCCTAAAAGTGAACCTGGTCTTTTGGGGGCTGATTATTTCTCCTGGTATTTTTTTTTTTCCAGATACAACAGTGTTTTTGCTGCACTTAGTCTTTCTCTTCACATTTTGCTGAAAAAAGTGATTGCAATCCTGTTTTTTTTCTTAAGAAAGGATTTATAAGGGGAACACCACTTACTCCTTAATATTCAGCACCTATTTGAATATTGATATCCACTACTGAACACATGGTGCCTAACTTTTTTTTCCTACTCTAACCTGTTCACACAAGTAGGTGCCATTGAGTAGGCCATATGTGAGTAGGATACATTGACTTACTCACACAGGTAAAGGTAGGCATGTCTGCTTATTTTTTCCCAATGTGTTTGTAAATTATTGTTGGATTGCTCAGGGAAATAGCTTTTCTAAGGAAAACACTAAATTGAAATTGAGGCACTCTGTGGCTATGTACATTTTGAAGCTTTAAGCACAGAAAAATCCAGGGAAAAAAAAAGTGGGGTGGGCAAGACTTGCAGCTGACACTGAGTATAGGTCTTATAATGGTGGGAAAAAAAGAGAAGCCATTCCATGGGCACATAACCTGAGATGCAGTTCGTGCCCCACCCTGCCAACTTCTCAATGTAACATTGCCCCAATAACACTTCTAAAAGGTGTTACATTAAGCTCTAAGTCCATATGCAAAATGAATGAGACGCATTTTCTGAAGCACCTTAAAAACTGTGTGTGGAGAAACTAGAGGCCTTAGTGCTGCAAGCGTGGCAGCAGTCCTATGTATATGGTAATAGAATTCCCAAATACAGAGAAAGTCTCAAGAAGGTTATCATACAACAACATCTTAGCTGAAGATCTTGCAAGAATTCAGAGCTGCCCTACTTGATTCAGTGGTTTTCTTTTCCCCTTCTTTTTTCTTTTTAATATCAATATTTCTATGTGTGCATGTTATGTGTGTATATATGTATCTAGACATTTGAAGAAGGGAGTTTAAAAATTCAGTGGGTTCTTTGTCTTTTACAGAATATACATGGGAAAATATTTAGATTAGCAAGAATAGACTACGTAGCTCTTCAGCTTTTTATCTCTCTAAATCTTTCCAAATCCCATGAACCCCCAAGCACTGATACAGCCCACGTCATGAAAGAGGCAGTGCCTGAATAAGGGCAGCAGTAGCTGTGCTGGGTCATTGCACAGTTCATGAGACAAGCTTCAGCTCAGGTTGACACAGAGAAGGAAGGGTCAGCTCCCACCCAAATCAAGTAGGTTTGTTATATCTGGATGTGTTAAATTCTTTTTTCAGGTTTTGAAAGCCTTCCCAAAAGCTGAATTCCTGCACTTGATTAAAGAACACTTACTCTTATTACTAATTAACAGCATAACATTAACAGTTTGTGAATTACAAAATTTAAGGAAGAATATGCACAATGGATAATTTGTATTGTTTGTACTGTTGTCTCTATGTTCCTGTTTAGAAAGGGCAGTTTGAGTCAGGTTATGTAAAACCTCATACAAGCACAGTTCTTTGAACACTGTTAGAGGCAGAGTTTCATGGTATTAAAGTACTGGAAGGCAGGAATCCATCCCAGACTTTGGCCACCATTTGAAATATTTACATTGAGGAAGAATAATTTGAGTTACGGATTTTTTTGTTTTGTTTTGTTCTGAAGGCTTTTCTCCAGTCCATTTGAGAGCAGTCCCACTGAAGCTGTGTGCTTAGCTTACAGAATGTATTTCAAATTATTCTTTTCTTTTTTTCTTTCGAACTTATTGAGCACTAGGACCTGGAAATATTGCTATGGAGGGACATCCACAAATAGATAAATGGGCTGGGTCCCTGTTTGTGGATGGCTCTTACCAGTTAGCCAGAACTCACCTAGGTTTAATAAGGAGCTGTGGGAAGGATCACTTGGTGTTCCAGAGACAGGTGGGGTAAGAGAAGAACCTCAAACTTCCAAGGTATGTATAGTCTTGTAAGACTGTGATTTTTGACTTTTGTTATGATGTCTTGCAGGAGGCACAAGGGTTTGAAAAAGCCAAGTCAATGGAGTGTGCAGGAAGGGTGTTAGAGTGAGTTGGTGGTGTAGGGCTGACCTATAGCAGCATTTTCCTGCTTTCTAGAAAGTGGGGAAGGTATTTCCAGTGAGGGAAGTGCATGAAAAGTGCATGTGAGAGTAGATGAGGGGAATATTGGAATTGGAGTGTGGTAAATGTGGAAAATAGAAGAGGAATTACATAGAGTGTCAGAGGGAAGGTGAAGATATTCAAATCCTAAAGGAATAAAGTGTCAGACTGTGGATTTTAACAGCTTTC